GTTTTCCGGCTCCAGCTTATCATGCTCATCGTCCCCATCTCATCCTCCTCTTGTCCTCCTCCTGTCCTCCTTCTCCTCCTCCTCCTCCTCCTCCTCCTCCTTCATCCTTCCACTCCTCTTGATATTCCTGATCGTATCCTCGTCATCGCCTCCACCTGCAACTACAGCTCCGCCTCGTCATCGCCTCCACCTCCTTCTCCCCTTATTCTCGTATCCTCATGGCTCCTGGCCTCTCCTTCCTGATGCTGCTTGCTGTTCGGAGGAGGTCGAGACTCGCCGGGCCTTCTCCAGCAGCCTCTTGCTGAATGCCTGCCCAGGCGCTGGGGCTCCGCTCTCCTCGGGGGCAGAGGGGGAGGAGGAGGGAGGAGGAGGGAGGAGGGGAGGAGGAGGACGGGGAGGAGGAGGGAGGAGGAGGGGAGAAGGAGGAGGAGGGGGAGGAGGAGGAGGGGGAGGAGAAGTAGGGGGAGAAGGAGGAGGAGGAGAAGAAGAGGAGGAGGAGGAGAGGAGGGAGGAGGAGGAGGAGGAGCAGGAGGAGGAGGGGAAGGAGGAGGAGGGGAAGGAGGAGGGGCCAGAGTGAACTTTGCAGAGGAGCTGGCCCTCGTTTGGGGGCGCGACATCGGGGGGGGAGAAGGGGCGGGGGGGGCGCGATCGGGCACGGGAGCGGGAGAGGAGGAGGAGGAGGAGGAGGAGGAGGAGGAGGAGGAGGAGGAGGAGGAGAGGAGGAGGAGGAGGAGAGGGTGAGGAGGAGGAGGAGGAAGGAGGAGGAGAGGAGGAGGAGGAGGAGGAGGAGGGAGGAGGAGGAGGAGGGGGGAGAAGGAGGAGGAGGAGGAGAAGGAGGAGGAGGAGGGGAGGGGGAGGGGGAGGGGGAGGGGGAGGGGGAGGAGAACGGAACGGGAGGCGGGAAGGGGGAGCGGGAGGGGAGGGGAGTGGGAGAGGGAGGGAAAGGGGAGAGGAGAGGCACCGAGAGGGGCGTGGGCCCAGGGTCTCCGGGGGGACCGCGGAGCCGTGGGGGGAGGAAAACATGAGACCCGACCTCCCAGTACAGTAGGATTTTGTTTTTGAGCTCTGCGATCCATCCAAGACCTCTGCGCGAGGATAAGTCGCCCGCCTGCTCAAATGAGGAGCAGGGGCCGAAAATTCACGGACCGACAGCCGCTCCGGCGAGCCGCAGCTTATGGGAAACGGCTCAGTGCAGCACCGATACGGATGCCCGCCCAGCTCGAAGCCTGCTGCGGCCGACTCCCTTGCAGCTCGTGCCAGCCCACGAGGGCGATATCCAGACCCCCGACGTCGTGATTTGTTCGGCAACGGCAGCCCTCAGAGGTCTGGACCCCTGCCCCGGGACCAGGACCGGATTCTCATCCCGAATTGTTTTTGGACGGTCCCGGGGCCCGGCGAGGGCCCCAGGAAGCGGAAAGGAGCGACAGGCCCATCGCGTCGCGAGGGGGTCTGGGCATCCTGGGCCCCCCCTCCTCCCCCCTGGAGCTGAAAGAAGAGCCATCCTCAGAGGGCAGCCAGGCGCAGCACCGACGCAGCCATTTGCAGCATTCACGGGAGGCTCGCCCTAGCTTCGAGTGGGCGAGGAGGAGGACGAGGAGGAGGAGGACGAGGAGGAGGACGAGGAGGAGGACGAGGAGGAGGATCCTAGCGTCCTCTAGCAGCTTAGCGGATTGCTTAGCGCAGGAGTGAAATCGAGGCCTATGGCTTCCAACGTGAGGAGACTGCTAGAAGCCTAGGAGTCGATGCTCTAGCAGACGGGCTAGACGAACTCCAACTGTCAGGATGAGGCTCCTAAAGGGGGGCCAAAGCCGGTTGAGGAGGTTGAGGGCGGCTGGAAGCAAGGTAGCAGGAGTGCATAGGGCTGGGCCCCAAGCGGGCTCCATGTGGGGATGCTCGGTGGCAGGCCTCACTGACCAACAGATTCTAAGATTGAGGGGATCCGCCTTGAGAAGCCTGTTCAAGGACAACTCAGGGGCCTCGCTGGCACACAAGACGAAGACCTACAAGCAGGCCTCCGACATGGACCCCTGCGTCTACCACCATTCACAGGTGGTGCTCCAGCATCGTTAATACTGGCATTGTGGAATGTCTCCTTAGGCAAGCACAGCACGACCTGAGTCGCGCAAAGACAAAGACTCCTTGGGCTGTCGCACGTTCTCCAACACACGTGTACGTGCTCAGGCTGCCTGAGGTTGGATGGAAGCCACTTTCGTCCCGATTGATCCAGACACCTGAGGGCACCACCAATCGGTTCAGTCTGTCGCCAGCTCTTGTTAGCAAACTTGCGGCAGGAGCTTCTCGTGATCGCTCGGACGTTGTGGCGCTGCAAGCGAAGAGGTGCAACAAGACGTGGTGCCGTCCAATCCTGCGAGATGGAGTGCCGCAGCTTTTTGGCAGCAAGGCCAGACCAGCCTGGAGCGAGCACCACCAGAACTGCCTTCGACCGCCTCTTTCCCCCACCATGTGGACGATGGACAGGAGGCGTGAACATGGGTTGCGAAATGATGATGTATGACAACTTTGTCGAGCTGGAAGTGGTTCATTGTACCACAAACGGTTTGTTGTGACACGTGGTGCACGGTGAGAAAGGATGTGTGCTCGCCCAAGCTTTTGGCAGCTGCCCGCAACATCAGACGTTGGCACCAAGACGAGAGGAATTGCGCTGCGGGGCTGCTGCCTCTCCCTCGAGAGCTGGCGCCCAAGCTTTTGACGACGGAGGAGGTGGGCATCTACAGGGTGAATCGGTCTACGTCTGGATATCTTACTGGTGCGCACATTTTTGCTGACGGATCTGCGACGCACCCTTCGTGCAGGAGGATTCGTGGAACTGGTTGGGCACTGTTGATGATGGGTGACCACGGTCGTTTCATTGCAGCTGCCTGCGGGGTGGTGCCAGCTCGTGTATGAGCACTGCAGCAGCCCAGGGACGCAGAGGATTACGCGGTGCTCATGATTTGCCATGCCTGCTTCGGTGGTAATGTTCTGCAAACAGATTGCTCGGGTACGCTTTCCCCTGTTCATGGTCGCGCATGGTCCATGAGCAGCATGAGCGAGCGCGCGCACATGTGGCAGAGCATATGGCACGTGTTTGAGGATGGCCTCACAGCAGTGACAGTGAAGGCACATAACTCGATGGTGGATGCGAGACAAGGTCGCACGACGGAACTATTCAAACGAGGCAACGATAAGGCCGATGAATCCGCCAACATTGCCATTCTGAAGCATCCAGCGAATTATGCGTATGCTAAATATATGGCCTTGGTGCGTTTCTCCAAGGAGTTGGCTGATTGATTGGGGCCCAGGAGGTCCGCAAGGCCAAACATGAGCTCGTCGACACCATTGAGTTTCCAGAGCGTAAGGTCACGGAATGGAAGGTCACCTTGGGGAGGATGAAGGCTGTGATGAAGGAAGGGAGGAAGCTGTACCCTGTGAGCTGCCCACGTAGTGCTTTCCCTCTTCTGGATTTGCCCGAGGACCGTGATCAGGAGCTTGAGATTGCTGCTGTGCTCCAACGCCACACCCTCAGGACGGCCGCACTTCACGACTCCTCGGGCGCACAGGTGATAGTGATAGCTGGAAGCCGAGTCGCCATGTGCACGAACTGCGTAAGTTATGCCTGGGGGGGGGGGAAATGTCTCTTTCTGTCTCTCTCTCTCGCTCTCTCTCTCTCTCTCTCTCTCTCCCGCCCGTGCAGGGAAACCACCAGTGCGTTAGTTAGGCAGAGGGGGAGGATGGAGAGAGGGCCCGAGCTGGGCCGAGCAATACAAGGGTCGAACCATGAAACCCAGCAACTTCGAGCGCTTCCACCTCGCGAAGCGAGGCACCAGAGCCCCCCTCCCTGTCTCGTGTTTGTTTTCGGAAGGAAGCCACCCAGTCCAGGACGAGCGCTGGAGCGAGCAGGAGCTCGTGGCGCGTGTCGGTCTCGATGCAGCGTTGCTCGAGATTTTGGTGACCCACCTGAGGTCAGAGTCAGGCGCTGGCGAAGCCAGCGACAGTGATGAATTCGATTCCAGCGACAGTGATGACGGCACGTACGCTGGCTCCAGATGGAGTGGAGCAGAACAGAACAGTAGGAGGAGGAATGATGAGTGAGGAGTGAAGAGGAGGAGGAGGAAGAGGAGGAGGAGGCGGAGGAGGAGGCAAAGGAGGAGGAGGAGGAGGAGGAGGTGGAGGAGGGGGGGCGGCAGGGAACGCCCCGGAGCGCCTGGGTCGCTCGCTGCCAGCGGCTGCCCCTGCATTCGCCGCGTCGCCTCCTGGCCAGGGGCGCTGGCAGTGGCCCCCAGTCGCCCCTCTCCAGCGCATTTGTATTTGGTTCGCGGCCATAACGGGCGTTCTGGGGAACGGGAGGGGACGGGAGGACGGGCGTTATGGGAGGGGGGGGGGGCGGGTTCGCCGACAGGTGTGCCGGAATTGATCTCGACGCGTTCTCAATCTGAAACTCGGGGTCCGTGGATCGGTTGTCCTTCTTTCCCTGCGCAAGGGGCGAGGCTAAGTCAGACACTCCTCGCCACGGGCCAGCACGCACAGCACGTCTCCAGGGAATCACGTAAGGAATCATATGTTGTTCTTCTCTCTTGTAGGTGAATGTGTTTACTTGGTTATGTCGCGAGCTCTCTGGGGTTCGAGGGTTTATGGTACCGCCCAACAGGCGGCTCAAGAGACCCATGGAACCACTATGGTTACGGACAACAGCAATTGAAACGGAAAACCGTTTGCCAGAGCCAGAAACGCGTTTCTGACAGTCGGGTTTACAAGGGAGGGCGGGAGGGGGCAAAACGTAGCGCCCCCCCCCCTTCCCCCAAAACTCTGGTGCCGGACGCACTGCGGCAGTGCCGGGGACGCACTGTTGGGGGAGAGCGTCACGTCATGGGGGTGGGGGGTGTGAGGAGGGGGAGGGTCAAAGGCACAACGATAACGCGCGCTATGGCCCAGAGGGATCTGCTATATACGAAACGCTCTCAGGCAATCGGGGATGGACAGACCTCCCTCTAGCAAAACGTGGTTTAGTGAAAACGACCTCGGGCCCAAACCTGGCGGCCGCACGCCTGGAAAATGACGGCCCGCGGCGCCCTCTCGAGAACCGAACGTGTCAGGGTAGGAGGTCTGTCCACCCCCGAAGCAAACCGTTCACCGCAGCTGCTCCTTGGGCACCGAGCGCGCGCGCAACGGCCCCACGCGAGGCAGCATATGCGGGGCGTCGGGGTGGACAGCCTCCTGCCCCGAAGCTAAGGGGGGGGGTCCCCGCGGAGCACGGCCGGTGCACTCCGCAGGGTGGCCTCCCGCTGCCTCGAGGCGACCTCTGGATCGGGCATTTCCTCCTACAGGCGGATGTTGGACTAAGGTTTTTTGTTGTTAAACAAGAGTAAAACAAAAAACGAGCAACCCATATTCAAACATTGTACCAAAAAACTATCCCTTTACTTGATTTGTGTTTGCCATCCTTGAACACTCCGCCTGTGGAGGGACAGGCCCGACGCAAGCCCACCTGCGGGTCCACTCCGTGCAGCGCCGCTCGCTCTGCCCTGCGCGCCGCGCTGCCCTCCGAGCGCGCGGCGCTCCCCTCGGCTCCCGCGCGGCGCCCCCTCCGCCCTCGCCCGCGGGGGCGCGCCGCGGCGCCTCTGCCGCTCCTGGGGGCTCTGGCCGCTACCCGGTCGGCGAGCGCGTCCCACTGCTCGCAGAGGTAGCTACTCTCAGGGGGACGTAAGACCTGGGTACAGGGGACTCGGAAATCCCCGACGAGGTCGTCAAAAAAATGACGAGGCCGAGCCTGCATTTTGACGAGGCCTCCCGCTGCAGACATCCCAGGAAACTCCTCCTCGTCAAAATCCGAGGCGCGGTCGTCAAAAAACGATGGCGAACCCGAGTCCTGGCAAACCCGGGTCTTACGCTCCCCCGATACTCGCGGATGGCCCGGATCCGCCGCGGGGGATCCACGATCAGCTGCATCGAAGCAGACACGTGCGTTTTCGGGCGCTTGCGAGCAGGCAGTTTGCGAGTAGTGGAGCGCGCTCGGTGATCTGGGGCAGGCGCTTGCGGCGACTCGCTCGGGTCGGGGCGCGGGGGGAGGGTGGTGACTACCTGCCAGATCACCTCAACCCAACCTGAAGACTCGAACTTCGGGTTGGGGGGGTACGGGCTTCAGATGCGTTTGTTTCTCAACGTTACCCAGCACCCCCCCCTCTGGAAACGGAGAGCAAATCGGGGCCTTCGGGTTGGGTTGGGGTGGCTTGGTGGGCGGTGAGGGCGGGGGGGGGCGCGGGAACACACGCCCGGCATCGGGACAGGAACCTCCGACGAGTCAGCCTAGAAGTGAAACGGGCAGGCCAAGCCCAGGCGCGCGCGCGCGCTCTAGGAGAGCCAGCGGGGAAGAGGGAAGAGAGGCAACGAGAGAGAGATAGAGAGAGAGAGAGAGAGCGTGAAAGAGAGAAAGAGAGAAAGAGAGAGAGGGAGAGAGGGAACACGAAGAACAGAGCAGAGAGGAGAAGGGGGGGGAGTCCCTCGGCGCGGTCTCCTCCTGCACCTCCGCCTCGTCCTTGGCGCTCCGAGCCTCCACGCCCTCGTTGCGCTTGCGGGCGTCCAGCTCCATCCGGCGCCTCGCGGCAGGCCGGGGGGGGCCCGCGGGGTGTTGGCCGGTCAAGAGGGCAGCGCCGGCGGCAAGGGCCCCGCCGCTTCTGCTGCCAGCGCTGCGATGACGCAGCTGTGAGCGGTCTCGCCTCGGAGCAGAGATGCGAGACTCGGGCAGGAGAAGAACGGAATCATCGAACCCTGTGTGTCATCGGGGGCGCCTGTCCCCAGGGCGGCTGGAAAGCTTATACCCTGGCGTGCCAGCGTAGGGGTGTAAACTTTCCAGTCGCCCTGTGGGGCAGGCGTCCCCGACGGCGACACAGTCTATCTTATCCCAGTCTTCGCCCGCGGCGACACGCATGCCTTCCAGCCTCGCCCCCGATCTGCACATGGATGATCTCGTTTTCATCGGGGCGGCAACTGCCGGGAAGACAGTCTCGTCGTCCTGGTGGTGGCTGCGGCCCCCCCCCCCGCCAAAGGGAGCATGGAGAGGTATCGCGCAGGAGCGAATGCATCATTCGCCCATGTCTCCTTGTCTGTCCAGGAGGGGGGGCGGAAACGAAAATGTTCAGCCCCTGTTGTCTGTCCTCACCCTTGCTCCCAAGGCTATGAAACATTGACTGGATGTCGCGTGCCACCAAGGAATTGCACCTCTCTTCCTGTGGCTCGAATCGAACATGATCTCCAGTCTCTCCGTCCGACGTCGCGAATTTTGGGGGCGGAGGGAATCAAGTGGTGGGGGGACGCCCTGCCACAAGAATGCTCCCAGGGGAGCTTGCTTTCGGGAAGTGAGCGCGGAGATCCGAGACCCACCGCGCTTGCCTGCCATGCTTGGGTGCAGGCGCCGATCTGACTTCCACTGGACTGGGGTTTTGCCGGTCCCGCGCTGCCGCTGATTCGACATCGTTCGACCGAGGTGCCGCTCGTTGCTCTGGGTGAAAGCTGGCGTGTGCCGTGCGTGCTGCGCCTGATGTGCAGGTTGGTGCTCCGCGGACGGGCCGTTCTTGCTGCGTGCGCGTGATGAACCAGCCCCATCGGAATCGAGTGCACATCGCGTGCGCTGGGTTTTCCGCTCGTCGCAGCGAAGTGCCACGTGCGCTTCCTCTGCCGTGCTGGGCAGCCTCGTGTGTGGCCGCAGCCTGCCAGCAGCTCCCCCATGCCCCACGCTGCCGCCGAGGCATCGCCCGCCGGAACGCCGCCTCGGCCTCGCCCGGTCGGCCTCCCTTCCCTGCCACTGCTGGACACCCACCTCTGTCAGGCGCACGGGGGCTGGATCGCGAAAGCACCGGCCAAGATCATACTATTCGCATCGAGCCACGAACGGGTGCAATACCGCCCTCTGTGGCGTGGACGTGCACGTCGAATTAACACCTCGCGGGCAGCATAGTCATGACGATGTAATCTTACCTGCAGTTACTTTACCGTTGATCTGCCTCTGACACGAACCAGGTAACGGGACCTGGTGGTGCGCGTCCTTTGGCGGCACCCCATGGGAGGCCCGGGCGCGATGTCTGCTACATCGCGGTGATCACAGGGCTCTGGATACAGGCACTTGTATCCCCCAAGACTGACGTTCTATTCGGGGCCCCAAACAATTCCCGTGGAACATTTCTGGTGGACATTCCCCGTGCCCCTCCCGCCCCTGCGGAGTAAAAATGCGATGCCTGTTGCATCGTGGTGGTCACGGGGCTCAGAAAACAGACAGTCGTCCCCCCCAACACGTGCATCCTGCTCGCTAGGTCGCAAGCACAAACGAGCCCGTGCAAGACCTCCCTCGGGAGGCCCCAGTGCAAGACCGAAGTATGAGAGCATCTGACCATGAGCAAGCCTGGGCGCTGTTGGATACGAGTGTTAATGGGTCCGTGTGCGAGTGAATCTGAGTCTGAGTGGGTCCGAGGATGAGTGAGCCTGAAGATGATCGAGACTACGCATGAACAAGTCTGAGTGCGAGTGGGTATGAGTCTGCATGAGTCTGGGTTTTTCCAAGCCTGAACGATTAGACGTCAGAGTCTGGGTGAGTCTGGATATGCCTGAGTCGCTATTATAGGAGAGGGGGGGGAAATGCGGGAAATAATGAGCCGAAGCGAAACAAACAAACTCAAGAAGCCGCATCCTCGATCCTCCTCCTCCTCCTCCTCCTCCTCCTCCTCATCCTCCTCCATCCTCGTCCCCTTCACCTCCACCCTTTCCCTCCCCTCTAGAATGAAAAAACGCGTAAACATAAACTTTCGACGGTCCGCGCGGACTTCTTGGATCTGCGCTGAACCCTCGCCCTGACACGCGGAGCGCGCTAGGGGCGGCGCCTGAGGCGCCGCCAGGGAGGCCCCGGATCCAAGAAATCCGGGCGGACCTCTGGAAGTGTATGTTTATGACGTGTTTCTTCTTCTGGAGAAGAAGGGAAGGGTGGAGGTGGAGGGGACGAGGATGGAGGAGAAGATGCGGCTTCTGGAGTTTGTTTGTTTGTCGCCGATCCCTCGCCCTCTGCATCCCAGCCGCCCAGCCCCCATCGCCCTCCCGACCCCGTCGCCCCTCGGGGCCCGAACCCCCTGAGCGTTCGGCACAGCACGGGCCTCTTGGTCAGCGCGGGCCCCTGGCGCTCTCTCTCGAACACGGCGGCCTGCGGCCAGGGGGTGGCGCGCGAGCGCGGATCTGGGTGGACAAGGGGAGGGGGTAGGGGAGGTGTGCTCCTCCTCCTCCTCCTCCTCCTCCCTCCTCCTCCTCCTCCTCCTCCTCCTCCCATCCTCCTCCTCCTCCTCCTCCTCCCTCCTCCTCCTCCTCCTCCTCCTCCTCTTTGTCCTCCTCCTCCTCCTCCCCCTCCTCCTCCTCCTCCTCCTCATCCTCCTCCTCCCGCTCCGCGCCCCCCCGACCCCAGGAGGGTGAGGGGAGTAGGGGTGAACGAGTTAATGGTACCCCCCCTTTTGGCTGATGAGTAGACCCGCGGGTCGCGAAGTCGCTTCTCTATCACGTGCGCATGGCGAATCGTCGGCGCCGGCGAGTGGAGCGTGTACTCCTCACACGGCAGCACATGGTGAAAGTGCATCCAGCATCGTAACCCCTAGGGGGGGATATTTTCCAGGCAGGCTAATACCTGTGATGTCGTCGTCGTCGTCGTCGTCGTCGTCGTCGTCGTCGTCGTCGTCGTCGTCGTCGTCGTCGTCGTCTACGGCGTTCCTGCGCAGCACCCGCCCCCATCACCCGCTACGCAGCGCGTCGGTCGTCGTCCATCGTCGCCGTTCACTACAGCGGGCTTGCGCAGTACACATATGCACCCCTCCCCTCGGGACATCCGAAGAGAGTCGTATCGTGTTCGTCGCCGCCGTCGTCGTCGTTGTCGCCGGTCGTTGGTCGGTCGTCGTCGTGGTCGTCGTCTCGTCCTCATCCCCTCGACGTCGATGTCGTTGTCGTCGCCGTCGTCCAACGCGGTCTGCGGCGGCCCTGCGCAGCACCCCCTCCCCCAGCAGGGCACCCGCAGCGCGCATCAGCGCCAGCGGCGGCAGCAGCGGCTGGAGGGCGGCGGTAGCGGCGGTGGGAGCTCTTACCCCGGCCCCCCCTCCTTCTCCTCCTCTTCCTCCTCCTCCTCCTCCTCCTCCTCCTCCTCCTCCTCCTCCTCCTCCTCCTCCTCCCCCTCCTCCCCCTCCTCCTCCGTGTCCTCATCCCCTGTCTCCTCCCGTTCATGTCCTCCTCCTCCTCCTCCTCCTCCTCCTCCTCCTCTTCTCCTCTTCCTCCTCCTCCTCCACCTCCCCCTCCTCCTCCTCCTCTCCTTCTCCTTCTCCCCCTCCTCCCTCCTCCCTCCTCCTCCTCCTCCTCCTCCTCCTCCTCCTCCTCCTCCTCCATCTCCTCCTCCTCCTCCTCCTCCTCCTCCTCCTCCTCCTCGTCCTTCTCCTTGCATTTTGACCTCGAACGCCCCGCTGTGGCGGAGGTGCTGCTGCCTCCCGCTGAATTGGCGCCGCCCGCGTCGCGCCTGCTACCCTCCAGCCAGTGGCAGAGGGACGGCTCCGATCGCCAGCGCCGCCGCGATGCGTTTCTGCTTGGCGGGCGCCCCGCCGCGGTTCCCCCGAAGCAAGTGCTGTGTCCGCTTACCGTCGGGAAATGGTCTTTTGACGTCAGCTGCGAGACGAAAAAGGGGTCAGCGCCACGGGACAACACCCACCGCGAGTTTTTCCCTCCGTAGGTGCAGTCCTTTGCAGATCAGGTTGAAACACCATGTCTGCTTCCAGGTGGGCTGGCCGCACGCCATAGCCAAGCCTCGACTATGGGAAGGTCCGTCAAGAGCACGATACCCTTCGCCGAGAGCCCAAGGGCCCATATGGAAAGACACGCCGAGCGAAGGCCACTCCAGGGTGTAGAGGCCAAACACTAAGAGCGCCAGGATACCCAGCCTTATCCAGGAACTCAACTATCGATATTAAGGCATCTAGAGTTGGAGATTGAAGCTAAGCCTGCAATCAAACCCGGTGGACACACAGGGGAGGATGTGCCGCGGGATACTTGGGAGCACGAGTTCGCCCTTGCAAGCTCTCTCCAGAGGAGAGAGCCCAGTCGAGAAGCATCCTTGGCCGACAGCGAGATCCGAAGCTAGGGCAGCTCTCAACCTTCGCCCCAGCTGTAATCGCGCGAGTGGCGTCGACTCAAGAGCAGCAGAAGGCACGGTGTGGCCAGGCAGCGCCCCCCCCCCACGACGCATTTACTATATATCTCGCCCCCGCGGGGGGGGGTGACACACGCACAGCATTAGCATGTTGGGGCGACGCCGCTTGGAAGATCAGCAGTAGGCACGACTGCATCCAGCTGGCACCTCTGGGGGGCGGGCGCCTCCGGGCCTGCCGTCTCGCAGGGAGACACCAGAGTCGAGTCGACAAGTCGGATCGGCGAGACTCGGCAGCCGAGTACTGAGCCGGGAAAAGTCGGATCGGCGGACACTGGCAGACGGGCATTCGCCCAGACATCGGGGGCGCGCAAGCACGGATTAGCGATCCAGGGAGTTGGCGCGCGGTCGCCACTTCCATGGATCGGGGGAGGTGCCCTCCCCAGAATGCGGCCGGTGCCGCCTGGCTCGGGGGCGGAAATCCGATATTTCGAAACATGGGCACGGGACCCGCCGCTCATCCACGCCCCCGTGGTCCATGCTCGCGATCGCCCGACGAGAAGACATCGGAGCCCAGATCGGCATCCCGAGCCGGATCGAATCGGAATCGGAGGCCACCGAAGCCGACGTCGAGGTCGAAGCGGGGGCATCGGCACGAGCCCCGCCCAGCCGGCCTCCGGGGGCGGGCGCCTCTCGGGGCCCCGCCGCCTCGCGCCCGCGCCAGAGGCGGCGGGGGGGCGCGCCGCTGCGGCGAGGCCCCTCGGGGGGGGCCTGCCGCCGCGCCCTGCCCCCCCCCGCGCCCCCCGGGGACGAAGAGCGCGGGGCGGCCACGGCCGCCTCCGAGTGTGTGTGTGTGTGTGTTGTGTGTGTGTGTTGTGTGTTGTGTGTTGTGTGTTGTGTGTTGTGTGTTGTGTGTTGTGTGTGTTGTGTGTGTGTTGTGTGTGTTGTGTGTGTTGTGTGTGTTGTGTGTGTTGTGTGTATGTTGTGTGTGTGTGTTGTGTGTGTTGTGTGTGTGTTGTGTGTGTTGTGTGTTGTGTGTTGTGTGTTGTGTGTTGTGTGTTGTGTGTTGTGTGTTGTGTGTGTGTGTGTGTCTGTGTGTCTGTGTGTCTGTGTGTGTGTGTTTGTCATCCTCGGTGGCTACTCCTGGGAGCCTCCCATACCATGCCGTCGGCTCTCGCGACTCGGCGCTCGACGCGGGATCGACGCTACATCTAGAAGGAGGAAGAAACGGCACAAGCATCAGCTTTTGGCGCTCCGCGCGGGTTTCGTGGATTTGCGCTGGACCCCCCCTCCCTGGCGCGCGGAGCGCGCCAGGGGCGGCGCTGGATGCGCCGCCGGGGGGGCCAGCGCGGCGGCGCATCCAACATTTCTATTGATGCCGTTTTCTCTTCTTCGAATGTTGTCGGCTCTGGCAAATCGACGCTAGTCGACGCTAAATCGACGCTAATCGACGGTACATCGACGCGAATCGATGCTGAATCGGCGCTATCTCATCGACTCTCAGACGCGAATCGACGCTGAAGGCGGAATTGAAAGGGTACACCAGGCCCCCGTGCTTTGCTACCGAATGTCATCTGCCTGGCTGTCCAGCGGAGCGGCTTGGATGCTGGCAGTCGTAGTAAGCCAGGCGCACGCACACGGCCCGAATGTCGGAGCCGACCAGAGGGGCGGGGGATGGCAGGGCGACTGGACGGCAGATGCCACCCGCCGCGGCCAGCATGGGCCAGCCATTCCAGGTTTCGCAGCCGCGGTTCTCGATCACGGGACCCCGCAGGCACTGCGCCGTCGTCGGCGAGGACGGGGAGGCATCTCACACAGCGAGCCGGAGCCGATCACCGAGCGCGAGGCGACGATAGCGACGCTCGTCTGCGCTTGCCGACCGCAGCGATGGCGCTTTGCGGGGTCTCCCGGGTGCGCGCGGATCGCACGACGCACAGACGAGAGCCGCCGCAGGAGCGCACGAGGCCGGGCGGCACGGCATAGAAAGCCTTATTATTAGCAGCCCTCACACTGTTCGTCCTCCGCTGCCGCTCTTTCCTCGCTCTCCCAGTCCCTCCTCGTCGCCCTCCCTGATCCCTGCCTCCTCGCTTCCCGCTGCTCCCCGAGATCTTGCGTTGCGGACAAGAACTGCAACATCGCAAACAAAACACGACCAGCGCCCAGGACCCTATAATCTTGCTGCGTCGTCTGTCGAGCCGGATGGATCCGCGAGGGCCCCGGGGCCCGACGCGACCAAAGCCCAGGACCCCATCTTGCTGCGTCGTCTGTCGAGCCGGGTCGATCTGCGAGGGCCCCGGGACCCGAGGCGGGGCGAACGCGCCCGTGCTGTGAAACATCGCAGCGCGCCCTGGGCCCTGCCCTGCTGCGTCGCTTGTCGAGCCGGATGGATATGTGAGGGCCCCGGGGCCCGATGCGGGGCGAGGGCGCCCGCCACCGCGGGGGGGGGGGGGGGAGTGCGACGAGGCTGGCGTCAGGTCGGGCATGTCCTCCTCGACAGGCGGACTTTGGGAGAAGAGCAGAGCATAAGCAACACATGCGCAAAAGGTATGCACAACTGGTAAGACAGCAGAATCACACGTCTGGAGGACCGCGCGGAAATCTTGGATCTGCGCTGGACCCTCCTCCCTGGCGCGCGGAGCGCGCCAGGGGCGGCGCCAGAGGCGCCGCCAGGGCGGATCCGAGAAATCCGCGCGGACCTCCGAGTTGTTTTGTTTGTGTCACTGTTCGTTCAACAATGAACAAAATTCTGAAACTTTCGTCTCCAGAATTTTTTGACCATACAAGCAAAATGTAAGCAACACATGCGCAACATATATGCAAAACACACCAAACATCCCCATACTCAAAGCTCCTGTAGAGGGGCATACCCGACTTCTAATGCTGGCGGAGGGGGACGGCCCGCCTGCAGGCGGAAGAGCGAGGAGGAGCCCACACCTCGGATGGGCTTCGGGTCCTCGCTCGCCGCGCGGGCGGCGGCGACGACGAGAGGAGGTTGGAGAGACGAGGCAGAGGACACGACTGAACCCTGAGATCCTTTTCGTCGCAAAAGAGGCCTCCCAGATGGGGTTCGAGCAGATGGGGTCGAGGAATCGCGCCGCATCGGGGATGCATCGGCGACGCCAGCGCGGAGAACATCGGGCTCCACATCGAGCCGCATCGCCGATGCATCTGCGATGCGGCGCGATCCTCGGACCCCATCTACTCGGACCCCATCCAGGAGGCCTAAAGAGGAGGAGACGGCCGAACCCTGAGATCCTGGCGTCGCAATTATAAAAAAAACGGGCCTGTGCGCCCCGCTTCGGGCCGCGGGACCCTCACGGATCGCTCCCGCTCGAAACACGACGCAGGGAGATGGGGTCCGGGGCTCCGGTCGTGATGTTTGCGGCGCTGCGATTTTTCCACAGCTTCGGACCTCAAGGGTGGACGAGGGGAGGGGGGAGTTGGGGGGGCGAGCTCATGGTCCCCCCCCGTGCGGATGGTCGATCTGCTTTGATGCTCGCGGAGGGGGGGAGGAAGGGGCAGCTGTGCCCGCCGAGCCGAGCCCACGCCCGCGCGCCACCGTGCCTCGCGAGGCACGAGGTGGCGTGCCCCCCGGGTCCTTCCCAGGATCGGGTGCCGTCGGGCTGCTGAGGGGAGGAGCGGTGCGCAGGGCACGACGCCCCCGCTTGGCCCCAGAAGCGCCTGCGTGCACGAGGAGGGCCAGAGAGACGACCGTGGAGAGACCCACGGAGCATCGAGCCCCTTCCCGCGGCAGAGCTGTGGCTGACGAACACCCCCCCCCCGCTTGGCTGACGAGTAGACCCGCGGGTCGCGAAGTCAACTCTGGGTCACGTGCGCAGGGCGGATCGTGGGCGCCAGCCAGGGCAGCTGGGGCTCTGGGGATGGACGCCGCGAGACGCAGAGAGAGATGGGGTCTGGGGCTCTGGACGTGATTTTCTGCAGCGCTGGCTCTCAGGGAAGGACGCCGCGAGGCGCAAGCAGACAGCCGGCGCAAGAGCAGGGCCGAGAGAAGCGGCAGGGCCAGGAGCAGGCGGAGCGTGAAGAAGGAAGTTCTGATCCCGGTCACACTGCCCTTCCTCCCTTCCTCCTCCACGATGGAAACGAGGGAAGGTCGGCACAATAGATGCCCCTAACGGCTCCGCGTTGGGAGACGGAAGTATGGCCAACCTCACGGCGTCTATCAACTGGTCGGCTTGGGACAGGGACAACGGATTCGAACTCTCATGGGACGCTAGACGGTGCGCGTGTGCGTGATAGCACGCAACGGCAGAGGCCGAGCAACCGCCTCGAAGCCCAAGGAGGAAAAGAGGGCTCCCTGGGAGAAGCCAGCGCAGAGCAGTGGAGGAGACGTGCTGCAGCATGCGGCAACTGGAAGCAGGAGGAGGAGCAGGGGGGCGAGGGGGAGGAGCAGCAGGAAGAGCAAACACTGAGGAGGAAGGGGGACGGACGACGAGACGAGGAGAAGGCAGGTGCGATCGCACCACATCTGCCATCGCACCCACACGACCCATCCCTGTCCATTGCGTCGGTCCTGTTCGGTCAGCCAGCTGGGATGTCCTGAGGACCTTGATTCCCGAACGGCCGTTGTAGGATTGGACCCATCGTTTGCTGTGCAATCGGGAGCGGGGGGGGCAAGTGTACATTGGAGGAAGGAGGGGATAGCGGATGGAGGTAGAGAATGTGGAAGAGGAGGCGCAAGGGGAGGGTCAAGGGAAAGCTAAGGAGGGGATTGGAGGGGAAACGCAAAAGAGAGGAAGGAATTGAATCAAGAAAGGTGGCCCACGCTGGGGCGAGAGCGCAATTCTGAACGACTCGAGCATAACGCCCACACTGGAATGTGGCCAACGCTGCAGCGGGAACACCGTTTAGCAAGGGTCGAGAACGTTCCGGATGAAAGCACGTATACGACATACGAAATGTTGAACTCGTGTGAAAAGGGGGAGGCGGCGCCAAACCAGCACAGCGCAAGGGGAGAGAGGATAGTATTGTTCACATCGTGGGAGGAGGAATGGGGGGGGGAGCAAGGAAGATAAGGCGGCGAGGGAGCGAAGAGGCGAGGAGAAGACGGAGGAGACAGAGGGGAGCGGCAGCATCACAAGAGGAACGGGGATGAGGAGGAGCGAGATGTGAGGAGGGGCGAAAAACTTCCCACCCCCCCGCCCACCCGCCTCAATTTCCGCCTCCCGCGCTCCCCCCGTTAGCCTCTTCTCCAATTTCCCAACTCCCATCCGTCCACCCCCGTCCCCGTGCACAAGCTCCATTCCACACCCCCTGCCCCCTTCCCCCGTCCCCCCTCCCTACACGGTGAGAAGTCCCTTCCAGTCGTCCCTCTCTCCCCCCCTACCTCGGAGTGCATACTTGAAGAGACCCGAGAAGACGCAATCATTTTGCGAGGGGCAACAATAATGCAAAATTATCCCAGTGCGGCCCTACCTAGGAGTTGGAACCCCTAGGAAAAGCATTAGTAGTAACAGTAACGCTAAGCTAAAGCTAAGCTAAAGCTAAGCTAAAGCTAAGCTAAAGCTAAGCTAAAGCTAAGCTAAAGCTAAGCTAAAGCTAAGCTAAAGCTAAGCTAAAGCTAAGCTAAAGCTAAGCTAAAGCTAAGCTAAAGCTAGCAACAGCTAAGCTAAAGCTAAGCTAAGCTAAGCTACAGCTAAGCTAAAGCTAAGCTAAAGCTAAGCTAATCTAAGCTAAAGCTAAGCTAAAGCTACGCTAAAGCTAAGCTAAAGCTAAGCTACAGCTAAGCTCAAGCTAAGCTCAAGCTAAGCTAAAACTAAACTAAAGCTAAGCTAAACGCTAAGCGAAAAGCTAAGCGAAACGCTAAGCGAAACGCTAAGCTAAAGCTAAGCTACAGCTAAGCTAAAGCTAAGCTAAAGCTAAGCTAAAGCTAAAGCTAAAGCTAAAGCTAAAGCTAAAGCTAAAGCTCCCAGGGGACTGGGGGGAACCGCTCCCAGGGGACTGGGGGAACCGCCCGGGGCGCTTAGCACTGCCCGGCCCCTTTAAGCTAAGAGAGTAAGAACCCTTCTAGGCAGAGCCTAGGTAGGGAAAAACATGAATCGCGGTCGGGCGCATGGAAAAACATCGAACCCTTGAGGTAAGCCCGATCCCACTAACGCGCGTCGTGTGCATAAGATGCCCTCATACTTTGTTCCCCTTTCATATCCCTGCATCCCTCCCCCTCCACCCTTCCCTCTTCCTTCTTCCCTTTTCTTCGCCCTCACACCGTGACCCCGTCGATCGGTTCATTCCCACCCCCCCTTCCCCGGCCAGACTTCCCCTCCCATACCCATCCGCACTCCCCCCGTCACCGTCCAGGCCCCTGAGCCCTATGGCAGTCAGGGGAGGCCAGCC